GCAAATTAGACATTGACATCACCTTATCATGCAGTTACAGTACTATCATAAGCCTTGCGATAATTCGGGGCTTATTTTAAAACCATTTCAATTTAAAAATTTAGGGCCAATATCATTGAAGAACCCTTGAAAAATTTAATATCTGATAAGGGCAAATGTCATCTTGTACTCGCAGCATCTGGGGACTTGATGGAGAAGCTGGAGAGAGATTATTACTTGTGATATGGTGGATCCAAACAGTGCCGTTTGGCAGTGTTATTATTATTTTTTCTTTTTTAACCACAAATTTATTATAATAATAAATAAATATTATAAAATTATTATTTTAATATTTAATAAATAAATAAATATTAAGATGTTAAAATTGAACGTAAATAGTTTAACTCACTAAAATTTAACTTGAACAGTTTATATATAAATTTTGATTTGAATAGTTTAGAATTATATTAAAAAAATTAAAATTATAATTAAAAAAATATTTTTATTTTATTAATTTTGTATAGTTGCCTATCTATGAGAAGTAATGTTATTTAAGACATAGTCGAGTATTAAATATGAGTACTTCTCTCAACAGGAATTCAAATATTGATTTGTTATAGTATAAGAAACTAGCTCATTTTATTATATTCAACCTTTATTTCAAACTCTTTAGATCATTTTTTAATTTTTTTTCAATACAGTTCAAACTAAAATTTTTATTTAAACTATTCAGGTTTAATTTTAATATCTTAATATTTATTTATTTATTTATTTATTAAATATTAAGATAATAATTTTATATTATTTATTTATTATTATTATAATGAATATGTAGTTTAAAAAAAATAATAACACTGCCAAAACTGCAGTGTTTTGATACTGAGCACCGAAACCAAATCTGTGATATCGTTGAGGCACATGAGTTATACAGTGACGTTAGAAGAAGTAACTGCCGGCGAGTTCCAGATGAGTCCATGGCGATTTCAAGAGAATACATAAGAATTACGATTTGATGCTCAATCTTCAACTGTGTTATAGGTATTTTCCGAGTTGTTATAATTCGTCAAGGAATTTATTTAATTTGTTGTAAAATTCATATCGATATGCAGTAAAGGTATATATACATTGTTTAATGCCATGGATGGCCTCTCTCCTCAATATATTCAAAGAAAGTGGGCCAAAATCTTTGACAAGAAAAGCCACCAGAGACGTCCGTATTTGAATCTCTTTTCTGATGCTCTTAATTCCATTTATGGTCATGAAGAGTGAAGACATCTTTTTTTTTTTCTATCCGTCACTACAAGGAAAAAGCTTATGCATGTAGCTGCCAAGGGAGGAAAAGGAACAGATAGCCGATGGGCAAGTTTTTATTTTTTTTAAAGGAAAATATCTTTTTTAATCCTTGTCTTTTACTTGTATTTTATTATAAGTCCTTGTATTTTTTTTTAGTGTTTTAAATTCATACATTTTCAAATTTGTTGTTTTAGATCTTTAAATGAATAAAGTGTAGAGACCTTAAATAAATGTAAAATATTAAAAAATGAAAGTATAGGGATTCAAAATATTAAAAAAAAGTATAATAACCTATAATAAAATACGAACAAAGTGTAGAGATAAAAACTATATACTTTCTCCTCTCTTTTTTATTTTTAATAAAAGAGGTGCAAAAAGTCCAACGAAGAATACAGAAAAATTGGGTTACCAACTTGAGAGCTATTCTTTTCATCATTCACTCTCTCTTTGCGAAAAGGTTGTGATTGATTAGATGTACAAAAACGACCGGCATTATTTAAAACATTCTGCTTCTCGATACATGAATTCAAAAGGAGTACACTAGGATGAGTTAAACAATTCCTTACATACTTAATAGTGTCTCTAAACTGGTTGTGACTCACATCGATGGCCGATGGGTAAGTTTGAAAAGAGACACTTCGTATATTGACAAATGTGCAAACTAATTGGCATGGATGAAGAGAGAGAACATGAAAACAGAGGAGCCTACAAGTAACCATGGTTAAGGTCGTGCTGAGTATTTTAAAGAGATGTTAGAGTAAAGGAAAAGTGGTGAGTGTCGTGAAATATGCCTGTAACCAATGTTTTCAAAATTAAATTGAATATTGAATCAAAAAAAATTAACAGTCTACAGTTTGTATGGTCCAATCGGGTTGGACTAATGGTTGAACTAGTGATATAATAATTAAATTTTAAAATTATATATGTATATAATAATTTAAATATAAAAATAAATATGAAATTGTTACTTAACTTAAAAATAAAACTAAATATTTTAAGTTTATCATAACTTAAAAAGTCACATGATATAATATAATATTAAATTATTAAAAATTTGATTATTTTCTAAAAATAATTGACAAAAAATAAAAAAGGGAGCATTTTTTGAACAGTTCGGTTTTTAAAAACTAAATTTGATTTTGGGTTTGATTTAAATTCTCGGTCCGACCATCAGTTTAAAGCGGCTCAATCCAACCTAATTTTCAAATGATTTTTTTAACTTAACCAAAACGTTAACTTGATTGATCGACAGTTCGATTGGTATAACTGTTTGATTCATTTTGATTTTTTTAATCACTGTTAATGACCTAAAATGGTCGTGGCTACAACTGGAAGGAGAGGAACAACAAAGAAGACGATGAAGGTAAAAAATGTCAAAGGGCCAAATGAGGTTTGCTTGGGCCCTTGCCATGCCGCTTCACTAAATAATGGAAATTTCACAGCTACCAACTATGACGGTCCATCTACGGTGCTATGGTGCTTGTCAGTATGATGTGATTTGGGCCATTTAAATTTTAATTTAAATAGTTTAAATTTAAAATATTATTTTATTTTTATTAGGATAAAAGTTTATAAAAATTATAAAATAATTTTAATGTTTTTCATTTTTAATCTAATTTAGATTTAATTTGGAGGGTTTAATTTCATATTAAAATTTTTATTATTACTATATATTGACTATTCAGATATACTTTGTATTAATTTGATCTAAATTTAATTTGAAGAGTCTAATTTTATATATAAAATTTTTATAATTTTATATTAAAAATTTTAATAAGATATTGGACCCTTTAAATTAAATCTAGACTAGATTAAAAATAAAATTATTTTATAATTTTTTACATTTTTTATTTTAATAAATATAAAATAGAATTATATATTAAATCTGAACCATTTAAATTTAAAGTATACATTGTCAATACTTTTTAAATATAAGCATTTTTGCTCTCTAAAAAAATAATTAAAAAATTATCACACTTACAAGAATAATGCTCAATGCTCTTGAAAAAACATACTGGATAAAATTGGATTTTTAATTCTTTAATTTTAATTTGAAAGATGGGAATGCACCAAATCTGTAACATGGAACCTATCTAATCATGTGATGCTATGGACACTAATTAATGTGTGATGCAGGCCTGCAGCAAATACGACGTGTCCTTGTGGGCCTGATTAGGGTTCATTGGAGACAAGGATGGCCTACAATAGAATGGGTAAAACTGAAAAATGCTTTTATTAGGAATTTGTTATTTTCTATGATTATTCTATCGGAAAAATAACATATAAACTCCTTTACAGTAAAGAAATGATAATGTAATCTTGCAAAATGTGATAATTCCTTTTAAATCTTTAAATCTTAAGAGACTTATCAGTCAATAAATTTTAAAGAAAAATGACATATTTGCCCCTCCCTCAATCCTCTCTCTCCTCTTTCATTTTACGTTCACCGACCTTGGAGAGCAGATCATCTTAAACTTTGGTTTATTTCCTTCAATGTATAACATGAATTGCCTATGTTGATACCAAGTTTGATGATATGTTAAAAATAGGATTCATGTGGCGGCTTGATCACCGGCAAGCATTGAGGGAAGGGCATGCTCAAAAGAACATGCTTCTTCACCAAGTGGTGTTCTGTGAGCAAGTGAAGATGGTGGACGCTGCTTTGGAGTATGAGGCGGAGAAGAAGCTAAAACAGGACGGTGATGAGAATTTGTTGGAGCTGCGGAACGACCTCAGCGAAACCCCAGTGTACAGAGCGGCCAAGTACGGAGGGCAAAGGCTGTGGTTAGGGTTAGGGACGAGGGCAAAGTCAGTGGACGCGGAATGAAAGAGGCGGGTGATGATTGAAGGAGGGGCAGATATGTCATTTCTCATGAAAACTTTTTGACATATGAGTCCTTTGGGACTTGCGAGGGATTATTACATTTTATGGGATTAAATTATCATTTCAGTATTTTGAAGGGATTTTTCTGTCATTCTTCCCATTCTATACTTCTATTCTTCAATTATTATTTTGGATCTCCATTTTTCAGTGGTCTATGTCTTCCCCACCGTGTCAATGTAGTTGATCAAAGGCTCTTGGTTGGTATTACTAATATTTTTTTAAATAGATTTGTAACATTATTCACATTTATTTTATGTATATAATTATATATATTTTAAAAAACTTATTGAGAAAATATTATTTTTTATTATATATCCGATAACAAATAAAATTTAAAAACAATTGAATTTAATTGATAATATTACAAATCATGTCAGTCATAATCAACAAATATATTAATATTAATATTAACAAATATTTCAAAAAAAAATTACAATTCATTTTTACCCTTAAGCTATATCTTCAAGAGAACCCAATGTCTTGAACTCAATTTTAATACATTCTTTCCCTTAAACTCTCAAAACCAGAACATTTTTTTCCTTGTTATTAATTGAGGTTAAGTTTAAATATTAAATGTTGATGCGGATCAAATTGCAACCTTTTTTTTTTTTTTTTTTACCAACATGTCGAGAAACTTGTGCGCACATCAGCATTTAACAGTCATTAACAACAGGGGCAAAAAATGATATGGTTTTGAGAGTTTAATTCTTTATAAAATATATAAAAAATCATATTATTCCTATTCATTGTTTTGAAATTTACATCAAATTCCATGCAAAACACTAGGCTGCGCAATCTCATCATCTATATAAAGTGATTGAGACTTGAGAGAGGGTCCATTATTAGCTCTCAAATTATATTCACCATCAACACCACAAGAAAATGCAGAAAGCTTGGGTGTATGAGGAGCATGGTCCTGTGGAAGTGCTTAAGCTCACCAATTTTCATTGTCCCGCTCCTAAAGAAAATCAACTTCTCGTTCAAGTCAGAGCCGCTGCTTTAAATCCTATTGATTTCAAGAGGCGTCAAAGACCCATCTTTCCTTCAGATTTTCCTGTGAGTATACAACTCCTTCATCCTGGAACTCAAAAATTGTTTTTTTTTTAATTAAATCTTATATGTTTTGGACTTGCCAATTATATATATCAGTTTTGAATTGTCTGTATTATATAGTACTCCTAAAAAGGGATTCAATCATGCCCAAGCTTATATATAGTTCATTTTTCTTAATTTTCAACACACAAAATTTGCTAGAGATCGATTGTCTCATAAAATATTGAAAGAATTACAATCAGGTCCCAAATAAAAAATAATAATTATTTCTTCAATCTATCTATAAGTTAAACTTTTATATTTACATATTAATTTTTAGTATTTGCTGAGACACAAGCTCCTTCACAAGTATGAGTTATGAGCGAATCACTGGAACAAGAAGAGACACATAAGCAAGCTAAATACCACATGCATCTTATCCCAACAGCCAACAACTTGTAGACTCTGAAACTACAAGCCTTTCTATTCCATGTGAAGCTTTTAACATCAAGTCCAGTCCGTTCATACTTAACATTCCAATAACGTGACAAAATAAATCCATCACATATATGATCAGTTTTCTCAATCTATAAAGTTTTCATTTTTTACTTTAATATTTTTTCGAGAGTATGTGGCTTCATGATCACTAATTCCTTTTTAGACCTTGATATGATAACTTTTTGCTGAGACGAAAGCTCTTTCACAAGAATGAGTCAATCATTGGAACTATAAGAGATATATAAGCAAGCTTAATACCAGGCCCCCTAAGATCAACACTTTGAGATTGTGAATCCTGAAGGAGTCTTTCAAAATATAAGGCCATCACATCCATGATCTGTTTTATTTCTCGATTATTATTAATTTCTGTTGTAATAAATTTTGTTGGCAAATTTCGGTTTTGTGTCTACAGGTCATCCCAGGCTGTGACATGGCAGGTGTGGTAGTGGGAAAAGGGGAAGCAGTGACAAAATTCAAAATAGGAGATGAAGTCTATGGAAACATCCAAGACTTCAACAATGGAAAGCGACTGAAACAACTTGGAACACTGGCACAGTTGATAGTGGTGGAAGAGAACTTAGTTGCAGAGAAACCGGAGTGCCTGTCCTTCGAGGAGGCGGCGAGCTTGCCGCTGGCGGTTCAGACGGCGGTGGAGGGATTCGAAACCGCCAAGTTTAAAGAAGGGCAAAACGTGTTCGTGGTCGGTGGAGCAGGTGGTGTTGGAAGCCTGGTGATTCAGTTGGCAAAGCATTTGTATGGAGCTTCTTGTGTTGTGGCCACAACAAGTACTCCTAAAGTTGACTTTGTGAAGCAGTTGGGAGCTGACAAGGTTGTCGACTATAGTGAGACCAAGTATGAGGACATTGAGGACAAGTTTGATCTTGTGTACGACACAATCGGTAAATTCTTTTCTCTTCATGTTCACCTATGTACTGTCGTTTAAAAATATAAAATATTTGTAATTAAATTTTATTTTTAAATAAAATAATTATTTAATTTTAAATTAATTTTATTTTTTATATTTATCTTTATTAAATATCTTACAATAAATATAAAATCATTCATTAATAGGAGCACTTTTAAAAAAAATAATGATTACATCTCAAAAAATAAAAAATGCTTCACATTTTTAAATATTCAACTCCTCAAGAAATACCTTACATTTTTAAACAGGGAGAGTATATAAAGACCCAATTATTATTGTTATTATTATTATTATTATTATTATTTTATTGGGTTTAGATTTTTTCTCTTTTTTTCTAATTAATTACATCATATGAAATATTCAGAAATCAAGATAACGATCACTCCAAATATTAAAAAAAAAAATAATAGTAAGCTAATTGTGCTTTTGCTTATTCTACTTTTCAGGTATAGTGGGGAACATAACTCAGGTTGGTCACTTGTAAGTTAGGCGACAAAATCTTTTTAATAATGACAATAAAAATAGTTTTATGTGAGCACCAACTAGGAGTAGATCCTTGTTGCTAGCATGAGTTATTTCTGTCAAATATGGAGAGTAAAGGGTAAATCACTCTTGGTTATGTTAATTGCTATACATAAAGGTTGGAGTATTTGAAGTCCAATTATTTGTTTAAGTTACAAGAATTACTATCACAATTAAAACATTTTTTCTTGTAACTGAGTTTACCCACTGGTTCATATTAATAAAAATGATTTTTGCGAGTAAATCATAAGAATTTTGAATTCTAATAAAATTATTTAAACTTTTTAAATTTGTTAGCATCCACATAAAACTTCTCCTAAATCAAAAAAATGAAAAAACACATTAACCTCCTTGAAATATTTTATTTTCAAAACATATGACAAATATTCCTTAACACCAAGTAAATGAAATACTATAGCTAATACTCTCTTTGGTTCTATTTATAAGTCACTTTCAGCATGTTTTATCAAAACTAAAAAAAAAAAACCTTAAATCTCATTAAATTTGTCTTAAAATTTAACAAATTTTCACCTTTACCCCTAATAAATATTCTTAAATCTCATTAATCATATTTTTATTCAAATCATTTAATAAGGGCAAAAATATAAAAAGGAGCATTGAAAATTAGTAAGTACCTTATAAATAGGACTAAATCCTAAATCCTATAAATATGACCAGAGGAGTATGAAACACTTACAAGTTACAACTAAACCAATTTAGTTTCCAAACTCTACCCAATGCAAAAATGACCCATATTTAATTAATAAAAACCATATGGTGAGCAAATGAATTTTGGGAAAATCACTCTCACGTCTTATCTTATAAAAGAAATTTAAATACAAAAAAGTCTCATAAAATTATAAAATTACTATAAAATCTCATATATTTTTTTATTGAAGCTGACAATTACCATTGGATAGTAACTGTTCATTATTGTTGTTTACTCACTTTGGGATTACAATATAAGTCACTTTCTAGAAATACATCTCAATTTAAAATATAAGGTATTGGGTAAATTTCATATATATTTTATTTATACCCTTTCTTTTTTCATTTATTGTATTTCAATGCTCCAAATTTAAAGGCTATGCATGTATTACTAGAAAAACTTAAGAATATAAATGGGAAGATGTTGACCTTTTTACAAAAATAAAACTTTAACTACTATTTTTCATAAACTGTGGATTATTTAACAACAGATATTGTGGTCCAAGCCAATAGTTATCAACTCAAGAACTCTATTAATAGATACTTAATGTAAAATTGATATGAATTGACTAGTTTGACATATTCAGGAGAAAGCAAGAAGTCGTATGTGGTGGCAAAAGATGAAGGAGTGATTGTGGACATAACGTGGCCTCCATCGCATCCAAGAGCAATTTATTCAAGCTTGACAGTTTCTGGCCAAATCTTGGAGCGGCTCAGGCCATCTCTCCAGAGTCACCATCTCAAACCTGTCATTGATCCTTCAAGTCCTTATAACTTCTACGACGTCGTTCAGGCTTTTCGATATCTTGAAACTGGTCGAGCTTGGGGAAAAGTCGTCGTCTCCGATTTCCCCTCACAACTCCACTAACGTGCTGCCTATTTATATATCGTTCTTTGGAAGTTAATTAAACTCAAATATATGCGCTACTGGTTATACTTATTATTAGCATTATAATATATCTATGTGCATATATTGCTATTGATACCTTTATATACTTATAAATCTGTGTCACACACACACACACACACACACACACACACACACATATATCTCTCTCCCTCCCTCCCTCCCTCCCTCCCTCTCTCTCTCTCTCTCTCGACCCTCTAGATTTGTGTGCATGTTAAAAGGAGAGTCTCGCATACGGAGGATCTAATCTTATAGTTTTATACATCCTATTTTTTTTGGGATAATGAAATTTTTTGCCGTTTAAGTTTGTATCACTTATTAATTTAATCCCTTAAATTTAATTTTTATTAATTTGATCTTTTATGTTTTCTTGAATTATCACATGATTTCTTTAAGTTTTAAAATATAAATTGACTCTCAAAATAATTTAATATATAGAGTATATTGATAATTTAGCATGTATATATTGCTAAATGAAAGCAAATTAAAGCTCAAACTAATTTAATTTTTGTCAGCATAATCTCTTATAATGTATTTTGTTATCTTGTTTTCTAAAATTTTAGAGTCTATTTTTTCCAATCTGAATAATTATTATACTTTTTTTGTTAATTTACATAATTGTCATAAATATTATGTTTTTCATGTTAACAAATTTTAATAGTGTAACATTTAATTTAAATAATAATAATCAAATTGATAATCAAAATAAATTTGGAGGACTAAATTTATAAAAATTAAACTTGTGTTGAACCCTAATTTTGATGATTATAAAATAGAGAATTTTTTTTTTGCAGAGATATTTATTTGTGTTAGTGGCAAATTAAGGATATTGGTTTATATGTTTAATCTATGACTCCTTATTCCTTTGTATCATTTTGCCTGAAGCTTAAATTTGTTATTGGGATAATATTTGATTTATCTCAAATCCTTTTTTATTCTATCTTAGTTTTTAAAAAGGTTTTAGATTAAATATAATTATGCTATTAATGTTTATATTTTGAATTAAGAGTTTTGGGGATATTCAGTTTTTATCTTTATTCAGTATTTTTTATATATCTCGTAATATACAAATTCATTTGATGTGAAACTTATTTTATTTGAAAATAGGCTTATACATATTTTCAAAAAATTTAATTTTGTTCAAAATGAATTTTATATGAAATAGATATGATTTTTCGAAATTAACTGTTGAAGCTTCCAGTTCCCCTATAAAACGTCTTTGACCTTTTCTCACCTTTTTGATTATATCGCTGAAAATAATTTGAATTTTCAAGTGGATCTTACTTCATTGAAAACTAGACATCCAAAGCTTTTCAATCATAGGTCATTTTCTTGATTTGGAGTTAAAATGAAGGAGTTATGAATGTTATAATTTGACATATATTTTCTGATCCTATGCTGGTATAAACCATTTATATTCTAAACCTCTTTATTTCGATACAAAGCTCTTTATACCAATACAAACCTTCATTTTTGAGCTTAACCTTATCTTATACCAGCATAGAACTTTGTTATACTGATACAAACAATCTTTTACTCATATAAACTCACTTGTTCCAGTATAAACATCATTTTTCATGCTCTGTTCTTCGTGTTTGAGTTCATACTCTTTGAAACTCATTTAAATATCAATTTCATTCACTTTCTATGACTTGTGTTAACTTTATAACCTTTCTAAAATTATTTTAAACACAACTTTAGTTGGGATTAAACTCTTAATGATGATTTTTCATCATTCCTTGTTCTCATATAGTCAAGAAATTCAAAAACTTAATCTGTGTTTGATATAATTGAGTTTCTTTCTAAAGATTAAGAATTTGACTTAATCTTAATTTCTCAAACTGTTTCTAATGTCCAAGAAGCATTTCAGCTACTCTCAGAATCAAACAATCCATAGTATGAAAACTTCTATGTGTTTTTCATTTTACGTTTTTGATTCTCTTCTTAATCTAAGTATGGTGTTAACATTCTTACATATTTTAGAATTTTTTTTAACACAACTTTGGGTTGGATTAAAAACTTATCAATTCTTACAAATTTTTTTTACTTGTATTGTAACTTAACACTTCTTCATGTATGAGTTGTAACACCCTTAAAAATACAAACCGATTTTTCGCAAATTATTAATTCAACAAATCATTTTTTTTATTGAACCCTTATCATATCCTTATCATGGTAGAAAAAATTTCTACCATGATACATCCAAGACAATATACCACAGGTCTTAAAATATCTCAAAAAAAACAATTATAACCATGAGGGACAGACATAATCCTCATGGCATGATATTCAAATCAGATCATAAATCAAGAGGGACAGACATAATCCTCTTGGTCATATAAATACTTTTAATAATAAGGATTAGAGTTTACATGCTTCACAAAGAAGATATGTCCTAAGTTAACACAAGATACATTGTATAATCTAAAATAAGAGGCAACATAAAAGATGGTATCTCATACACCATAGTTACACCTCTGGTGCTTTCTCAGCCGGACTCGCTCCTGTAAAAATGTTAACCACGAGGAATGAGACTTAAAAGTCCCAATAACCAAAAATTAATATGTAATGATGCATGCGGTTGTAACTAATCATGCGATTGCTAAGTGGGCACACAAAACATTTAACAGAACATATTTTCAAACAAACCGAACAAGTATTTAATTTGTATGACTGCACTTTATATCCTCCTTTCGCCATGCTCAGACGCCAAATCACCTGGCCAAAGGTGAGTTGGATCAAGCGACACGCCACTCATTGGGTCCAATGAGGGCTTACCACGTGGTAATAATTAACCGAACAGAAATTTTCATTAACACCATACATTAAAATACCCTGACAAGTCATGCATCATTCAAATATCCAAACAGAAATATATCCGAACAATAATATCTCATCATGATAAACAAAAATAAATTTTTAACTCACTTGGCAATAATTTCAAACAAGTATATACAGTATTTATTTTTAATAATTCATAATTTTTCCAATCAATAAAATAACACATAACCATTCACAAACACACCCATCATAACACATTAATAATGGTTACCTTGTGTCTTGAATAACAAGTTCCCCTTCAAACTCCTTTTTCACCACTATCTTTGTCAATATAATCTACATAATTATTTCACAATACTATATATTAATTTTACATTAAAATAAATAACTATAATTTAAAAAGTTAGAAAGTCTTGGATTTATAATCCATATTAACACTAATTTAAGATTTATGCCTCATTTAACTTCCCAAATTTTTTTCTAAAATTCTCGTACCCTAATAAACTATTTTTTTATCCTCAAATCACTTCTAGTATCACAATTTCATCCTTCTATATTCTAAAAATTCATCTACAAATAAATTAAAAATTTTAAAATTATCCTGAAGCCTCAAATCACCTTTCTATAACCTCAAAAATACCTATTCATACTTAAATAAATATTTAATAATTAGAGATTCATCTCTACATCTCAGATTCCACATAAATTCAACCATATAGATCTAGATTTTAATTCAAAAATTCTTAAATATGAGTTTCAACCTTAAGAAAATATTTTATAATATTTATTATATCCTTAAGAGTTTTAACCTGTATTTTTAATCCATCATATCATCAGATTAACTATCCTATAGAAGAATCCTAATCAGAATATTTACTCTATCCTACAAAATAATCATATCACTAGAAAGCTAATATTATTTATAAAATAACTATAAAATTAATTTTGTAATTAAATAAATTTTTAAATGCTAATCTAAACAGGAAAGTTAGAACATACTTGAAAAAAAAAAAATAATCCCCCCTTGCGAGAAAATGCCGAGCAATGTGAGAGGAAGAGAGAAAAATAATATAAAAATAGGATTGTGGGTCCCAAAATTATATTAAAAAAAATTATAGGTCTGAATTTAATTATTCAAACCTTTGGCCCATTACTTGCAATTTTCAAAAATTGCATCTTGGGCCCTTAGTTGTAATTTTTACAAATTACATAAAAGTTTCTTCCTGCCTCCTCCCTGATGCACGTCGCTCCTTTATACATGAGGAGCGTTTTTCTCTTCCCACATCTAACTGATGTGGGACTTCTACAGTTCCCCCCTTTTTTTTCTTACTTTCTTTTCTTTCTTTTTAACTCACACACACATAAATTTTTTTATTTTAAATCTTAAAATTATATTTTAACAAAATGTTTCTTATATAATTTTAAACCTAAGTTTTTAATTTATAATTAAATGCCTAACCATATTATTATTTTCAAATAACCTTAAATAATATAAATTCCTATTATTATCAGTTTTTAATAAAACTTAAATTTCATAAATTTTTTTTATCTAAAAATTAGGATGTTACATGAGTTATTGCCCACACTAATACAAATAGCTTGTACCGGTATAACTATGTAGATTTATGCTTTGTTTTTCAATATCATTTTTTGTGCAAATCGAAGCTCACTCATTTTTCATCTCTTTCATAATCTAAGTGATGGGCTTTCATATTCATCTTTCTAAAAGCCTTCTAACCACATTCTTGCACCAGAATAAACTTTTATTCAATCCTTGATTTTTTTTATACCCGAATAACATTTGTTCTTCTGGTATTCATCTCAACGGTAATTTTGTTAGAACATTAAATGCATATAGTTGTTACTTTTCTTAAGTCATCAAAAACACACAACTCCGTTGTAAGGCAATGGTTTATCACCTCATTCTCAGAGAAACATAGAAGAAAAGAGGAACGACACTCCAAGAACTAATTACATGAATCTAACAGATCTATCCTCAACATTAACTATAAATATGACTCATCTATGAAGCGGATGTAAAGAGGTTATCTATAAAAACATATGCAATCTTTTCTAGCCAACTTCCTGTTTCAATAACCATTGTTTGTGAGTTTAACTGATTGTAAATTTACTCTTTAAGAGAGATTTTAACAGCAATAGTTTATTCTTGAACTTACTTTGTTCATCCTTATTTTTCAAATTCAAAATAGAGGAACTTAAACTCGGGGAGCTTAAGGGGATTTGTGATTATCTTTGTAAGGGAGAGAGTTTCAAATTTATTATAAAGTCTGTGGTGTACTATA